GAAACAATGCTGTTCATGACTCCTCTGGGCACAGTCCATTTTTTGTCAATAATGGTAGGCATCCTACGGTTCTCCCTGCGGTATTTTCTGATACTGCCATTCCTGCTCTGGATGAGCGTCTGGCCTCCATTCGGGATACCTGGGTTAAGGTTCAAACTGCTCTAGGGGCTGCTGCTGAACGCTTCAAACATTTTGCTGATAAGCGTAGGAGTGCCAACCCAGTGTACCAAGTGGGGGACCGGGTTTGGTTGTCATCTCGCAACATCAAGCTTAAGGTCCCTAGCATGAAGTTTGCCCCCAGATTCCTTGGTCCCTATAGAGTGCTTCGTAGGATCAATCCAGTGTCTTACTCTCTGGCTCTTCCTGCATCTTTAGGGATTCCCAACACTTTTCATGTGTCCTTACTCAAACCTCTTGTCTGCAATAGATATACTGTTCCTTGTGTTCCTCCCCCTCCGGTGGTGGTGGGTGGTCAGGAAGAGTATGAGGTATCTTCTATCGTGGATTCTAGGTTTTCTCGGGGCACTTTACAGTACTTGGTTGTTTGGAAAGGTTACGGTCCTGCTGATCGTTCTTGGGTTTCGGCTCCTGACCTGCATGCGGGCCGTAAGATCCGCGCTTTTCACGCTAAATTTCCTCTCAAGCCTGGTCCTGTCCGCCCGGTGGGCGTTCTTCAGGTGGGGGGTAATGTCACGTATTCATCCGCTTATAGAAATGTGGTTAATGACATTTACTGTCCACACAGGAAAAGTTGTGCCGAGCAGCAACCTAATCCACAGAAGGTTTAATGCTGAGCAGTAATTGTGCAAATGAAACCTGGTCTCATGTATTCATCCGCTTATAGAAAAGTGGTTAATGACATTTACTGTCCACACAGGAAAAGTTGTGCCGAGCAGCAACCTAATCCACAGAAGGTTTAATGCTGAGCAGCAATTATGCAAATGAAACCTGGTAACTGACTTTGGGGTCAAAGGCCGGTTACAGCCTATCAGAAAGAAAGGAGGGGTATTTAGGCCCAGTTCTCAGCCTGCTCAGTGCCCTGTCGTGGTTTCCCTTGTGGTTGTCTGAGAGCGCGTTCCTGTTTATAGTTTTCTACCTGGTTTTTGACTTTGGCTTTGTTTATTGACTTCTCTATATTCTGGTATCCTGACTCCTGGCTTTCCTCATCGCTGTGTCCCTTTCTGTGTTCCCTGACCTCGGCTAGTATTTTTGACTATTCTTTGTACGTTAAATCCGGCCATTCTAAGGACCGGTAATACGTTACTTATTTGTCATCCGTGCTGTAAAGTTCTACGTGCTGGATCAAACAGTAATCCTGACACCAGTGCCACCACTCACTGGTGTCACAATAGCTTGCATTTAAAAACAAAAAACTTTTTTCACTGTTATAGATTGAATAGCAGTCAGTGTCCTTAAAGCGGGTGTGTTAAGCTCACAGTGGATACGGTGCCCAGTGCCACCACTCACTGGTGTCACAATAGCTTACATTTAAAAACAAAAAACTTTTTTCACTGTTATAGATTGAATAGCAGTCAGTGTCCTTAAAGCTGGTGTGTCAGGCTCACAGTGGGATACGGTGCCCATTTGCCCAGCCAGTGCCACCACTCACTCATATCTGGTGTCACAATAGCTTGCATTTAAAAACAAAAAACTTTTTTCACTGTTATAGATTGAATAGCAGTCAGTGTCCTTCAAGCGGCTGTGTCAGGCCTACAGCCTGTGCCCTGCACAACTGTGCCAGTGCACATTGCCACTCATATCTGGTCTCCCAGTAGCTTGCACGCATAGTACCACTAATCCCCCAAAAAATGACAGGCAGATGCAGGCAACCCCGCAGGGGCCATCGTGGTCGTGGTGCTGTGATTACCTTTGGCCCTAGAATAATGCCCAGTTTTCAGAAAAGTTCTGAGGACATAGTTGACTGGCTAACACAGGACACCCAATCTTCTACAGCCTCCGCTCAGAACCTTGACGCACCATCCTCCTCCAGCTTAGCTTCAGGCACCTCTCAAGATACCACTCACCCGCCTGCCGCCACCACCAAAACTAGCACCACAGCCGCTTCACTTGGTATGTCAGAGGAGTTATTCACACATCCGTTTGAAGAAATGAGTGATGCGCAACCATTATTGCCAGAGGATGTAGATAACAGGGATATGTCTCAGGCAGGCAGCATTACACATGTACGGTGTGATGATGATGATGTTGTACCCGCTGCTGCTTCCTTTGCTGAGTTGTCAGATACAAGTGAAGCGGTTGATGATGACGATGCGTCCATGGATGTCACGTGGGTGCCGCTCGGCAAGAAGAAGAACAGGGCAAAAGTTCAGAGAGACGGAGGAGGAGGAGACGAGTTGGAAGCAGGGGGAGGTCGTCGCAAGGAGCTAGTGGCACAGTCAGACAGCATGCATCGGCACCCGGGGTCAGCCCGACAGCACGCCAATCAACGCATGCTGTGTCCACCACCAGAATGCCGTCATTGCAGAGCTCAGCAGTGTGGCATTTTTTTTGTGTGTCTGCCTCTGACAACAGCGATGCCATTTGCAACCTGTGCCAAAAGAAACTGAGTCGTGGGAAGTCCAACACCCACCTAGGTACAACTGCTTTGCGTAGGCACATGATCGCACATCACAAACGCCTATGGGATCAACACATGAGTACAAGCAGCACACAAACTCAAAGCCGCCATCCTCCTCCTGGTCCAGCATCTTCAGCCACGTCAACCACTGCTGTCCTCCTTGCCCCCTCAACCATCCGCCACTCCGTCTCTCGCCTTGAGCAGTTCATGCTCATCTGCCCACAGTCAGGTGTCTGTCAAGGACATGTTTGAGAGTAAGAAGCCAATGTCAGAAAGTCACCCCCTTGCCCGGCGTCTGACAGCTGGCTTGTCTGTACTATTAGCCCGCCAGCTTTTACCATACAAGCTGGTGGAGTCTGAGGCGTTCAAAACATTTGTAGCTATTGGAACACCGCAGTGGAAATTTCTTTTCACAAAAGGCAATCCCCACCCTGTACTCGATTGTGCAAAAGGAAGTAATGGCATGTCTGGCACACAGTGTTGGGGCAAGGGTCCATCTGACCACTGATACCTGGTCTGCAAAACATGGTCAGGGCAGGTATATCACCTACACTGCGCATTGGGTAAACCTGCTGACTGCTGCCAAGCATGGAATGCATGGCTCTGCAGAGGAGTTGGTGACACCGCCACGACTTGCAGGCAGGCTGCACCTCCTCTACTTCCCTCCTACTCCCATCTCTTCCACCCAACCTCCTGCGGCGCAGATTCTATTCTGCTCACTTTCCGTCAGCACTCACATCCAGCCGGATAGAAAGGGGACGTAAACAGGACTAAACCCCAGTAAAATAGTACTAAACACACCACTCCTATCTGGTGGCACATTAGATTGCACGCGCAGTGCCCCAAATTTATTGTGATCTGTGAGTAAGGTAAACGGTTGTCCATACAAGTAAGGTTGCAGCTTTTTGAGGGCCCACACCACTGCCAGGCACTCCTTTTCAATGGCAGTGTATCTACTTCCCTGGGCAAAAGTTTCCGGCTTAGATAAGCCCCGGGTTGCTCGCCGCCATCTACTCCGACTTGGCTCAGTACTGCTCCCAATCCAAACATAGAAGCGTCTGTATGGACGAGAAAGCGTTTAGTTGGATCAGGAGCAGAAAGTACAGGTGATTTAATGAGCGCCGTCTTGAGCTGTTGGAAGGCCTGTTCACACTCTGGGTCCCATACTACTATCTTGGGGAGGTTTTTACGCGTTCCTATATGGCACTTACTGGGCTTTAGGGTCAGTCCGGCCTCCCTAATCCGGTCTAGTACGGCTCCTATGTGGGTCAGGTGTTCGGGCCAGGAGCAGCTAAAAATGGCTATATCATCCAAGTAGGTGCAGGCAAACTCCTGAAACCCATCCAGTAGCCGATCTACCATCCTCTGAAAGTTAGCGGGGCATTCTTCATCCCGAATGGCATGACCTTAAACTGATACAGGCCAA